GGAGTCGCGAAGTGTGCGCCAACCAGAGCATCCTGGCGGGATGCACCCACGGTGCGGGGCTGCTGACGGCGCCGCCGTGCAGGGCGGCGGCGCGCCGGGTGGCGGCGCGCCGGGCGGCGGCGCGCCTGCGCCAGGTCGCGGGCGACCTTGCGCCCCGGGGGCTCATGGTCGACTCGGCTTTCCAGTGGGTTGGCGAGGCCCTCGGCTCAGGTCGCCTGGTCTCGCATCGCGCGGCGGCTGGCTTCGCCGTGGGCGATGCGCCGCCGGGCGCGGGGGTCAGGGCGTGCATGCGGGACAGGCTAGCCACAACCAAGGCTGCCCGCGGGCCTTCTGCCCCCGCCGCTCACCGTCGATGGCGGGAGTACCAGGCCGTTCCAAACGTCGCCCAAAGACGTCGCCCACCCGCCGCGCGCGGGGGTCGCGCGCTGGCAAGGCGGGCAGATTCCAGGCCACCGCGACGCTGCCCCGCCGCGGAGAGCCCCGCCCGACGCCGCGCTCCGGCACAGCGCCAGGCGCAGGATCTGGGCCCAGCCCATGGTCGCGCTTGCTGGGGCGCGCGCGCGGCAGCTGCGCAAGCAGTGGTGTGGCGCTCCCTGGGGCTCGGGGCCTGGCCGCGCGGCTCAATGGGCCACTTGGCCAAGCCGCGATGCCCATTCTGTCTTGGCGTGGCGCCGCGTTCCCAGGGGCGCCTGTTCTACGAGCGCCCGTGCATCGCGGCGATGGGGCGCGACGAGGATGGAGGCGCGCCCCAGAATGTGCGCTTGGAGCGTTCCAGAGGCGCTGCGCCGTAACTATGTGGAGTCAGCCCGCCCGGCGACCTCGGCGGCCCTCCTCCGCGGCCCGCCCAGCGGCCTCGACGGCCGCGCAGGCCCTCGAGGCGTTTGGGGCGCCTGAAGTAGGGGCGGGCGTCGGCGTCGCCCTGCGGCAGGTGGGCGACGACCGCTTTTCATTGCCCGGTCGTCAGCCCGCCGCTGCCCCCGCGCGCGGAGCCCGCTGCGAGCCCCGAGGGCGAATGGCCATCGCCGCTCGACGATCGCAGCGCGATCGTCTACCACAATGGCTCGGGCATGGGCGCTGCCTGGCCTGAGCTTCTGCCGCCGCGGCTGGGCCGTGGCGCAGCAGAGCGAGCGCAGCCTGCCCATTGGGGTGGCGAAGGGGCCTTCCAAGGCAGCGGGCAGACCAACGTTGACCAGGCCGAGCGCTAGGCGCTCTTGCAGATGATGCGCCGCATGCCACGCGCCCCGCGCCGTCGCGAACTTGGCCGCCCCGGCCAGGGACATCGATGGCCGGGGCCTTGAGCTTGGAGGCGCGCGCGGCCAATGCGCGGATATCTGGCGCAGCGCGTTTGATTGGACGGGCGCCCAGGCCTGGTGCGACCTGTTGCCCTGCTCGTAAGGGCGCCGATTTCTTTCTCCAGAGCGGAGGTCAGCGCGGCCTCAGCGACCTCCGCGGCAATGCTTGGGCCGATTTCTTCGCGCGGTGGCCCAGATGCGCTCGGCGAGATTAATTCCAGGTGAGACATGAGGATGTCAAGGCGGAGGCCGCGCTCCTAGCGTGGCTAACGGCGGCGGCCGGCGCGACCGTGGACGAGATCCACGTGCTGACCCCGAAACGCCGGCCCACCGCCGCTGCGCCCGCGCAGCTGGCGCATCGCCGCCACCTGCTGGTCCGAAGTGGGTCGAAGTGGCTACGCGTCGACTGCGCGGCTTCAGCGAATCTCCCGGCTGCGGGGCGGCGGAAGGCCATGCGCGCCCGCGGCTTTGCAAAGGTTCATGGCTCGCGCCTGGGCTCGGTTTCCATACTGCGCGTCTTCCTTTACCTCTGCCGCGCCAACGTCCGCGGCTCGCGAGTGGGCCAGTTCGATTGCCTTCAGTGCCGCGTACCGGGCCTTGGGGGCCGCGGTTGGCCATCAGGGATGGACGGTCGCGATCAATTGGTTCCCCGGTTGTCAGCGACAGCCCCGCGCCAGGCCGTTCTTGACGAGACGCGCTGCAACGCTCCGAGCCCTAGTCGGGCCCGATGGTGCCCTGTAGGGCGCCTGCGGCGGCAGAGGTTCCCGTGGACCTGCTGATAGAGACATCCTGCGACTCGAGATCCTCGATTCTTTCAGGCCTTACGGCCGTGCTCGGGGACTCCGCGGAGATTATTGCCCGTGTCGCCTGGTCGCCTGGCAGCTTTAACATTGAAGGCCGTCGGCGTGGACAAGGCTGCTAGTTGTAGCTTGGCCTCGAGCGTTTTCGATTTTGTTCCTAGTATCCCTGATGTTCGTTTTGTGCTCAATCGGGGGTGTCATATGGTCACCGACGACCAGTGTGCTTACTGCCTGAACTGCGCGGTTCCAGCATCCACTCGCCAATCCCCTGTGTTATTGGCTCAGCGCACGGGTCCCGTAACCTAGGATACGAGGAGGCAACGTTCCGCGGTCCTGAAGCTTGTCAAGGCAAAGTGTCGCCCGCGAGCTGGGATTCCCCGCAGCGGTGAGGCCCGCGCGGCTTCGGGGCAACCGCGTTTTTCACAGGTCAGTCGTGGATTCCTGTTGTTGTTTCGGGGTCGTCGCGGGTCCTCCTCCCTTTTTTTTTCCTCGTCATCCTTTCGTTTGCGTTTGTTTCGCGATTTCGGGGGACCGCCGCCTGCGCCTCCTCCTCTTCCTCACCTCTTCCTCTTTGCGTCCTCATTTTCCTCTGCGCCCTCCTTTCCCATGTGTCCTCCCTCTCCTCCCAAGCGAATGTACCGCCCACGGCCGTTATGTTTTCAGTAAGGCCCAGCAGCATATGGGCCTTATGAGACATCGGAAACAGCTGCCACGCGAGCAATGGTATAGAAGTGGTTTCCGCGGCCACGCTTTTACAATCTAGTTGAGGTGTTTCGTTCGGTTTTCATTTTTTTCTAATTTTTCATGTTGCATACTGTATGTAAATCAAGGGCTTGTCTTGAGGACCAGCCGGCAGCGGTCTCAGCAACATCTCGTCACCATCGGTTTCTTTGTACCTCCTGTGCCCTCGCAGGGCCTTCTTGGGCCGCCCCCCGGGCCGACGCAGTCGGAGGTCATCTCCAGAGGTTTCTACGTGGATGATTCGCACGTTTTACGAGTCTCCGGAGGTTCGGGGGCACCCAATATCGGCGGCGCGAACAAAAAGGTAACGCGAGTGCGGTGGCTTTCTGAAACGACGGGGGGGGGTGTTAGAAGGCAGGCGTTTTCCTGGAAACTTTCGCAGCATCGACGGAGTCGCCTCAGAAGCCTGCGTGCCTTCTAAAAGAAACCCCTCTTCAAAGCGACAAAGCCCGCCTTCTTAGAAGGCCCCCCCCTTCGCGCCGCCCCTCTGTATGCGCTAGAAGCGGGAGGAGGGTGAGGACCAGGTGTGCCTGTCTGGCTGTCTGTCTCTCTGGCTGTCTGTCTGTCCGTCTGCCTGTGTGGGTGTGTATATCATGGCCGAGGCCCCTCTTTGCTCGATGCGTTCCCTGCCCCCCCCCCCGTCCGCGCACATGCCCCAGGCCCTGATGCGTCATCCCCTGTTCTCTTGCCCCCCCGTGTGGGGCTGCAGGTTCTTGGGCTTACGCCAGACCGCCGACCCCTTGGCAATTGGGGTTTCCTTGGGCCTCTTGGTGCGCTGTGGAGAGGGGGAACGGGGAGAGTCGCTGTGGCGGCGGCGGGGTGCTGCGTGACGTAGGTTGGTCGTTATATCGAGTGGGTGCGGTTTGGCTGCCCTCCCGTGTGGCGCTGAAGATTCTCGGAGGCACCTGGCGGCTCGGGAAACCCTAAGAAACAGGCGTCTGGCGTCTTCGTCCTCGCAGGCAGGCAGGCGGAGGAGGCCGTTTTCGGAGCCAGGTGGGGCATCAAGCAGCGCCCCGCGCCAGAAGACTGCCCGCGGGAGGGGGGGCGAGAGTTCCGGGGCCGATGTCCGCGCCGTGACGAACACAATGAATTCGGAGGTCCCGGACTGGAAGTGCTCGCCAAATGTTTCCGATGTGTTGTCCAGGGGTTGTATAGGTCTACCGAGGTCTGCGGAGGTCTGCGGAGGTCTGCGACGGTCTTGCATGTGGAGGAATTAGGCAGGGACAAGGAGGATTCGGCGGAGGATTAAGTCGGGCATGTCCCTCTACAGCGGCGGTATGACATCGGCGTTGGTATGCCATCGGCGTTCCAAACGGAAACGCTGGCTCTAGACTGGGCGCTTGAATGCATTTGCAAATGCGCGCGATGACTGACGCGGCAGCCCAGCCACACTCGGTGCACAGTACACTTTGCATTCGTCACGCTGTATTTTACTAATGGTTGCATTCGCTTAGTTCCCCCTGTCCTCTTGCCTCCTCTCCTTCTTTGTGATGTGTTTTTGCTTGCGCAGTGGAGTTGCAACGGCATCTTCCCTCTGACGGTTATTGGCCCTCGGGGTCGCTATGAGCCAATTGGTGTTGCAGCACACGTAACTAGCTTCCTTGCACGCGCGCGACAGTGCCTGCGGACGGACCAAACAAACAAATGTCCCTCTACAGGAAATTGATTCAAAACTATTGGAAAAATAGTCGGGGTACGATGTTCCGACTATTACTGACTATTTTTGAAAACTGTTTGATTTTTATGCAATTGTCTTCAAAATCCACCCGTAAGAGGACATGTCCGATCTCAGCAGAGGAGTAGATTGCCACCCCGGACACCAATTGGTGGTGGCTGTATAGCCCGTCCTGCTCGTTCTCGGAGCATTCTGGCCGTGCCAGACTCTTCGCTCGGGTGCGCTTGCCGAGAGGCCTCGCGCTTCAGTGGGTAAGCATCACGCAGCTGGCCGCTCCGCCCTCCATGGACAGAACGAGGAGGACGAGGGCGAGGAGGGCGACGACGAGGACGAGGAGGGCGAGGGCCTGGACGACGCTGACGACGACGAAGACGACGCTGACGACGACGACGACGACGACGACGACGACGACGACGACGACGACGACGACGACGACGACGACGAGGTCGAGGAGGGCCCGGGCGCGCGCTTACTCCCTGCCGCCTCCGCGAGGCACCGCCGCGTCCGACGAGGTGTGGGCGCGCCACTGCGAGGCCCCCCGCCGCGCCGAGTCCCTGGCGTGCGCTCCCGCGCGTCGACGTCGTCGGCGGGCTTCCGCCGCCAAAGTTGTCCTCGTCCTCCTCCCCCCCCGCTTCCTCTCCTCCTCCCTCCCCCTCTTCCCGCCCCGCCTCCTCTCTCCACCTCCCCCTCTCGCCTCCTCCCCTCTCGCCTCTCTCCACCTCCTGTCCTTCTCGCCTCCCTCCTCTCTCCACCTCCTTTCTCCGACTCCTCTCTCTCTCTCTCTCTCCTCTTGAAGGCGAATGAAGCGGCATGAGCATGGGCTGGCGACGGCCCGCGTGGGTCTCTTGGATCTGCGCTGCGCAGATCCAAGACATCCGCGCGGAGCTCAACAATTGCACGTGTGCGCAGCCTTCCCTAATCTGAGCGCTCTTCCTCCCCATCCCCCTCCCTCCGCCTTCCTCATCCTCGCTCCTTCCCTCCTTCATCCAAGATATCACGCCCTCGCGTCGCGCAGGCTGGGGGAGGAGGATGTCACAAGCCCAGTGGACAAGGTCTCTCCACTCTTGTCCGTTCAGGTCGATCTGGCCCCCGAGGAGGAGGAGGAGGAGGAGGAGGAGGAGGAGGAGGAGGAGGAGGAGGAGGAGGAGGAGGAGGAGGGGGAGGGGGAGGGGGAGGCCGCCATGTCCCCCGCCCCCGAGAGGCCCTCTGGTCCGGCAAGGTCCACGTGCCGGACCGCTTCTCCGACCCCGCGGCGCGGCCCGCCCTGAGGCGCATCGAGGCCTACTGGGGCTCCCTGGCGGACTCGCGGCGCACGGCCATCACCCCGGAGGAGCTCTGCAGCTTCGCGTGGTCCTCGCATTAGTGGGCCCTGGAAACGACAGGGCAGTTTTTTTACCGGTTCCGTTTGCCGTTTTTTTGCCGGTTCCGACGCCGTTTTTTTACCGGTTCCGTCGCGTTTTTTGACCGGTTCCGGCTCCGGCTCCAATCCTGGAGCCGTTTTTTTGCCGTTTCCGGTCGCCTTTTTTTGCCGTCTTCATTTTCAAGGGACATGTTTTGGGAAACGGTGAAAAAACGGCCCTGCCGTTTCCGGGGCCCACAAAGGTCCTCGCGCATGAAGAGCTCGGCGGGGGAGGACTGGACGCGCTCGGACCCGTGGTGGGCCACTCCCCCGCGGCCCGCCGGGGCGCGCCGGTACCGGCCGGACGGGACGACGAGCTCCTCG